AAATACCCAACATTTTAAAGACTCTATTTTCTTCGTTTAATTATTCTTTTAAAAATTCACACAAACTCAAAGGGACTAATTTACTGCTTTACTTTTTCACGCAAAAATAACGTTAAAATTTGTACTACATAACTAAAAAGAAAATACTATTTTTTGGTTGAAAAAACAAGTACTTTTTCTACAACACGAAAAAGTACTCATTTTGTTAAAATGATAGAAAATATTTTTTCTACTTCTTGAAAAGAAAATACTCACTTTGTTGAAATGATAGAAAATACTTTTTACTGCATTTTATTGAAATGAAAAAAAAAATACTTTTTTTACATCATTAAAAAATATATATTTTTTGTTGAAATGAAAGAAAATATTCTTTTACATTATGAAAAAATTAATACTCATCATTTTGTTGAAATTAAAAAGAAACTATCTACAACATGAAAAGAAAGTATTCTTAGTAATATTTCTATTTAGGGTGTGGTAGGACAGGGTTGGGGGAGGATGGGTGGTTATGGTGAGATGGGATAGGGGTAATAGGTGGGGTGTGGGGTGATTGGTGGGATAGAAAAGGTTGAAGAAGAGTTTTGGAAAATGTTTTCCATTTTTTCGAAAAATAATTTATATACACGGACAATATTTTGAAGTTTTTTACTTACCACGTTCAAACAGGCCTTGATTTGTTTATAATCAAGATAATCAAGAAGTAACATATAAGGATGAAATGTTTATACTTACCACGTTCAAACTGGCCTTGATTTGTTTAAGGCTATCAAGCGAAAATGTTTTGGTAGTAACAACAATCGGACGAAATTCTACTCCTTCATCACCAGATCGTATTGCCGTCCGATCATCTTCAACAAAAGTACCCTTCAAAATACTCTCTCCAAAATCATACACTGTATTCACAATCCCCTTGAAAAATCTAGGCACAACTTTTAAAACACTAAAAGCTTTATCTTTCGAACTCAAAGTCGTTCTTTGACGTGAAGGAAATGTTAAAGGAAGTGAAGGATTATCAACTCTTTGTAAACAAGAAAGAAGAGCCCCCATTAAAGAATAACCATCTCCAAGAGAATGATGAAGTTTAAAAATTATACTTCCAGCTGCATCATTTGTTGGGTATTTGAATATGTGAATTTCCCAAAATGGTCTATTTTGTGGGAATTGTTCCATGGCTAAGTTTGATATATAGTTGGAGAAACACTCATCGTAGAAATCGAGTGGTTTTTCACTTGGAAATATAGGGGTTTTAATATGGTCTTTGTAATTTACTTCCACTCGCTTCCATTTCCTTGTTCCTTTCTTTCCTGTCACCTATTTAGAAAACGTAGGAACCTTCATTAACACATTTAAATTCAAAAGAATATGCCTGTATTGATAGTGAAAATAACTTTTACACTATGAGGCCACTTAAAGATAACTACATGGAACTAATTAATTGTTCATAAAAAGTGAGGTTATTAGTAACTTGTAAAAAAAAATGCATGTTACCTGCTACTATAAAGAAATAAATTTTTGACCTAATTCAACCTCAAAAAGTAGCTCATAAGATAGATGATGATTGCACAAGACCGTATAAGGAGACTAATTACCCAACCCACAACCAATGTGAAACTTCTGACATCCTCATGCACGCCTATGATCGAATATCTATAGTGTGAACAATATATCATAAGGGCCAAACATCGAGTAACTAATAATTTGGATGAGTCTGGCTCTGATAGCATGCAGAAATGAATCTTGGGCGTATCTCAATCCCAAAAACTAGTCATGAGATAAGGATTATCCAAGGCCATATAATTAATGAGATCACTATCCATCCCACAATTGATGTGATATTTCTAACCGTTACAACATGTTAAAATATACTAAAAGTAAAATTCTTTTGCACGGTTAGTATATAGTAAAATTAAAGTTAAATCTTAAATGAAAAAGAGAGAAGTAAAAGGAAAGAGATAGTACCATGATTGAGGAAAATCGTGGATTTATAGGTACAAAGACATCCTTGAGTAAATTTAGGGGCAATGACTCTTCATATTCAATTGGAATTTTTGATTCCAAGACAGCAATAACACAGAGTGATAAGTTGGAGCTGTTTAAATATTGTGAGCTTGGACTTGCTGGCTCGAATGCTTCTTCTTCTAATGCTATATCCATTTTCTTGATTAATTCCTCACTATCTCATAAGTCAATTAGAGTACTCTATAACACTTAGTTTAGCATTTGGCATGTAAAATCACATATATATAGATGCATATGGCAGGTTAAGGCTGATCTCGAAAATGAATATATCCTATTATGTGAAATAATGATGCTCAAGTTGAAAAAGTCTTTTTTGATCGGCTTTAAATTTAATTGTGATGGGGATATTTATTTGCTTTGATTGGACAATTATATTCCTACGTACAAGTTAAGTGCTTTTCGTGGTTCTTGTTCAAAAATGTGAGAGAAAACAACATATAAACTCTGGAGCAACATCTATCTTACGCGTATAGGAAGGAGGAATCCTTTTCACAACTGGTTTTTCAAGAAATTTATGTTCAAACACAATTGTTCGCAATGAATTTGTGCGAATCCGCTGCTTTTGTTTGGAAAATCACATAGGAATTGGATTTGAGAGTTTGACATGTTTGTCTGGCTAAGTAATTACTTGGTCAGCATGTAATTAGGTGTAATTGGAGAGGTGTAATTACACTCTCCAATTCTTAAGGGGGTGAGAATTTGTAATAATTACACTGTGTAGTTACAAGGTTACTTTTGAATTTTTTTTCTTTTTCTTTTTATTTTAATTTATTTTCTTTATACCTTTTTATTTCCATTATTTTAATTTCTTTTTATTTTAATTCCACTTTTTAATTTTTAAATATATTTTCTGTGTACATTATTATCTTTTGTTTCTCTACCTTTACTTCTTGTGATTTCATGTAATTGCTTGTATATTTTATTTCTTATTTGTTTTATTTTTTTCATTTAGCGTAACTGCGTTATTATTCTAGTTTTTGAAACTACACCTCATAATATTAGAAATAATGAGTCATTAAAAAATATGGCATATAATGAGTGATATTATTAAAATAAAACTTTATTGTTAAATGAGGTTATAAACTTGTTATGTTTCCTAATCTTATGTTAAACTATTTTTTTTAAAATTTTGAAATTGTCTTATATTTATGGTTCCACTTTACTTGTTTAAGTAGTATTGGGTTCCACTTTACTTGTTTAAGTAGTATTGGGTTCCACTTTACTTGTTTAAGTAGTATTGGCTTGTTATTTCACATTGCATGTTGTTCATTTTTTAGTTAGAATTGATAGATTAGTTTTGTCAAATATTTAAATAATGTTATGACATTATATTTCAAAATATTAATTTATTTTATCAAACATGCATTCCATGATGTTCTTACAAGACATATATTTTTAGTTTTATAATTTATTAAACTAAATATTATTAATTTGAAAAATATATACCAATTATTTTTACAATATTAGTTATAAATATATAATTACTAATTAATTTATATTCAAGAAAAAATATTCATCTTAAATACCAAATCTAATATCATTTATACTTATATAAAAACATTTATAGGCATATATTTATTATTTTAACTTTTAAGTTTTGATAATTACTTCATTTAAAATTTAATCTAACTGTGTAATTACACTTGTGCAACCAAACAGTACGCTTGTAATTACACTGTAATTATATTATGGCAAACAAACAGGTAATCGTAATTATAATACTATATAAGTACTAGGTTGTGTAATTACTAGCCTAGTAATTACACCAATTCCAATTACCTGGTGGCTTTCCAAACAGACACTAAATCTGCCCTGAATATCCACACTTCAATTTTAATTTGTCCATTTTGGTATGAATGCTCAATCAGCTAATAAGTTCAACTATTTTTGGTCCCTATAGTCCAGAATTTAAAATTTATTGATTTAGAATTATAGTGTGTTTAACTCACTAGGCTCTAAATTAGTGTTGAAATCAGAAATTTTTCCAATGGTCTTCAAACTTAAAAGAAGTAAAACAATTCCCCGACAAAGGGTGTTCAATATATATACCTCTAAAACCCTAATATTTTACCTATATATACAGTATAATTTATCGACGAAATGTAGCTTTGCCCCTGCTCTAAATTAATAATTTATATATATTTAATGAATTTCTTAAAATAAATACAAGATTTGGAGCAAAACTACTGATTTCGATCGAACTCGTATGATGCATCCCTGCCTACAAATGGAGCATAGCGTCTGCAGTTTCAATTGAAATCAGTATTTATATTCAGAGCATAGATACAACATATGTAAAAGATTCTAGATTTAACAAATATTAAAATCTAAATCCATACATAATATTTTAAAAGTACAATGATAAGCTTAGTGTTATGAAAATCGAATCAATTAAAATTAAATCCTTGTCCCTATATTAAGAAAGAAGAAAAGAGAAATAGTGCAAACTTAGAAGATAGTATGAAGAAAATGCTGATTGAAAGTCGTACAACTCAGAAACATGCTCATTGACTTAAACCCAAAAAAGGATACTCCTAACAGCTAGTATAATGGCTTTCAAATCTAAAAACGCTAAAGTAATTGATTTATTGAGACATCTCAACTTCCATAATTAAATGTAAGAGGGACACCTATTCTTGTGGTCTAAAGCTGAAGTACAGAAGAAGTAATCGGACTTTTCATGTCCATTTATTTGGGTTGCAAAACTTCTTGACGTATGTGGAACAATTTTACAAGAAAATAATATGAAATCAGAAACTTAAGACCAAGTTTGGTGGGCTATCGTTAAATTATTTACCAAGTGTCTCCACAATTATGGAACCGTGTTTACTAACTGCCCCATGAAAATGAAAGCTGGAAATTAATATCGTTCCAACTATGGTAATTGGTACAAAAGAAAATAAGAGAAATTTATTTTTATCTTTTGAAACATATGAATGTTACATTTTTGTCATGTGTGTTTGCTATTTTCTTCGATTAGGAAATGGGAAGACAGATGAGTTATTGAGCCAATTATTTGTAAAATGTTTCCTCTTTCTCATTCAATAAATAGACCCTTTCTTTAAACTAATAAATCGATCACCCAAAAATAAAAATAAAATAAAAAACAGATCGCAACTAATTTATCTACCCTTTAATTTTCCCCCACTTAAATTGATAAAAGTTGTTCTAATATGTAAAAGTGTTAAACTGAAAAATATGAGGGGTGCATTTTACAATGGAAATGAGTAAGGGGTCGTTTGGTTTTAATACGGCTTATGCCGGGATAAGTTATGTTGGGATATGTTATGCTGGGATTAGTTATCATGGTATTATTTTTTATCCACTGTTTGGTATGTTGTATTAAAAATGACAAATTGTATAATTTCTAAGAAGGTATAAGTTATCCATGCACTAATTACCCACCTTCTACAAGGTATAAGTTATCCATGTACTAATTATAATCCCAGAATAACTTATACCAGGTTTGTTAACCAAACAAAGTATTAAGGTGGTATTAAATTTTTATACCAGCACTATACCTTCTTATACCTCATACCAAACGACCCCTAACACTAATGTTCACACCGATTAATATTATTTTCCTAACTAAGTTAAGAATGTAATATTTTGTTTGTAAACGTGTTTCAAAAGCTACGACATTCTTAAGCAGGGGTCTATCGAAAACATCGTCTTTACCCTCAAAATGTAGGGGTACTATCTGCGTACATACAGGGGCGGAGCCATAATATTAGTTGTGGGTTCGGCTTAACCCAGTAGCTTTTGTTCAAGCCCTGTATTTATATTAAGAAATCCAATGAATATGTACAAATCATTAATTTAGAACTCAATAATTTAAAAGAATTATAATCTCGAACTCATAAGGTTCAAGTCCTAACTCCGCCCCTGCGTACATATTATCTTCCGCACATCTCATATTGTGGGTATACATTTGATGTATTGTTGTTGTTGTTATTGTGTTGTTTCAAAAGCTACGATAATTATGTTGCCTCAACGAGAACATCAAATTTCCAAACATCATTGTTATACCAAAATTAATATACGATAAATAATAAAATGGAGTATTATTTTTGTGCGGTGATCATGATAACCGTAACCGTGGCGCTAACATGGATCAATCAGTTTTTGTCATATAATTTATCATCATAATTTCATTTCGCTATCACTTTACAGTTACAAGTCAGCCTTATAATTATAAATGATGTCGATCGACGTGAATCTAATCCTCAATGTTCTGCTACAAATGAGTCAAAATTTATGTTCCACACCATATATTTTATTAATGTAATTATAATATTACGTAACCAAAAACAACGCTTAAGTTTTGATGCAGTGTGTAATTTCACAACCCTTACGTTTGCAAATGATCAACCCCAACCTTTTTCTTTCTTTGACATGACAGAATTCTTTTACTAGGCTAATTACAAAAAATAGCACGGTGTGACCCCAAAGGGGATGGTTTTGGCGGAATGTTCTATGGTCTTAGCAAAATGTTCCCTTTTTTTAAAAACTTGAATATCACAGTTCTTTAATTTTTAAAGCTTGAAATTCTTGTTTGATGGTGAAAAATAAAAGTTAATTATTGATTATTATTATTATTAAAATCGTTTGAATGTTGATATTTTATGCTTAAACTTTTACTTAAGACTTCAGACACAGATTTTGGTAATTTATTGTAAAAATTTGAAAACCCTATTGTTGGACCTTAGAAAATATTGAAGAAGACAAAATGAATCTTTTTGATTTGGTGTTATTCGACTAAATTGGTGATTGGGGATAGTTTGTGCTGGTATTTGGAAGCATTGTCTCAAATTTGAAATCATTAATTTGGAACATATTTGGGATGGTTTGATCTAAATTGAAAGTGCAAATTTGAAAAACACTTTATTAAAACAATCCAGAAAAAGTATGCCAATTTGGTAGACTTCTATGGACAACTTAACATATAAGTAAACAAAACATAGCATCAACTCTACCGACCCAATTGAGAATAATAGTATCAACTCTACCGGATTGGTGAAAAATCCTGAAGAGCAAAAGTATGACTATCCGGTAAATTTTGATGAACAATCTAATCCGATAAAAAAAATCCTTGAAGAGTTTGTGCGGATCCGAGGTCATTTTTTAAATACCACTAGTTTTGAGAATTCCGCTAAGACCACCCCAAAAGTCTCTTTTGTGTCAATCACTCGGCTAATTAGCCCTAAATTATGTTGCTCTTAAGCTAGATGATAACTTGAAAAGTTGATATAAGCACGTAGAAGT